CCCCAAAACCCCAAAACCCCAAAACCCCAAAACCCCGGAGAGTAATATTGGCTATTTTAACTGGCTCAATATAAATAGATTTAATGTAATTAACTTCTTCTCTTGCTTTATATCAGGATTCCCAATTAGATGGACTAAGATTTTCGCTGTCACTGGAGGTGTTGAACTGGTGGTGTTTCTATAGCTATTACTGCTTATTTTCCTTATATCCTTGTGAGTCTTACTTTTTGTAGTTGTTATTTTAGTTGCTGTTATTCATCATTGAATTAATATCCCTTTCCCTAAGACTAACATTAGTGTCCTCTCTGAAATTAATCATCAACTTGCTGCTCTTATTAAACAGCATTTGCTATTGCTGATCTCGCAGATTCTACTACTATTACTGCTACTATTGATGCTGATACTGTTATATGTTGTTGACTCTGTTCATTGGAATTTGATACCTATCAGCTGACTTTTCATTTTTTCTAAGAGCTTCATTTGTGTTTCGATGCTGCTCCGAGATAATTTTCAAGGCTTATTACTCCATCTGATTTAAAATTTGGCTTCTGTCTAGCTTGCTTGCATTGCTCTGATTATTGATTTAGGAGATATTGCAGGCATTCTAGACGTTTTGACTTTAATTTAAAAGTTTAGATGTAGATTTACTTGATCTGTTATAGCCATGAGTTCTGCCAAGATTACCACTTCTATTGAGCTACTCAGCGATATCAATCTGAGATTGATTGTACATCCTGAGAGCATTCTCATTGTTGCTCATTTGAAGATACTTAGCTATTTAGACTGTCTGTCCATTCTGGTTGTAATTGGTTGTATTATTGAGTATATTATTTTAGAGAGCTTGCCTTGTTTTCAGATTTTTAATATAGTTCGTTGAGGTAGAGGTAAAACTATTGCTTTATGGTCTTATCTCATCATCTGAATCACTAGTATGAGTTTCCAGTAGCTTTTTATGCAAACCTTGCCTCTCCTTCATAAGTTTGTTCTTAGTTTTAAGAAGTTTATCAATAAGGTACTTAATCTCATTTTTATAGCACTGCTCACTCTCGCTCTTTCTTTCTTCGCACATTGCCAACTCTATTTTAGTCCTCTTTAACTCGAGTTCTAACTTGTCCAGATCTATCTGCTTGGTATCTCTGTCTTATCTCAACTGGTTTACCTGCTACTCAAGCTTTCTAATAAGTTGGTCTTAGAATTCGATCTTCTGATTCAATTGAGTATTTTTGGAAAGCAGCTCATCTCTTTAGAATGAAGTTTATTGCATCTGGTTGAATGACTGAGAGATCTGCTTAGCTTGAATCAGATCTTATTGAGATGGGTTAGTGACAAGATTTTCTTCTGAAGGTGAATGCTAAAATTAGACTGAGGAGACATTTGAGTCAAAAATCTAATTATAGTAGAGGTCTGAGGACAAGGGATTATGCTACTTCAAGGAAGCTAATGAGCTGTGAATGCTGTTTGGTCCTTTATGTGAGCCTATTCTCTGCATTGACTTACTTACAGCTCCACTAGACTGGTCTAAATACTCGGTAACAATATCCTTTAAGTGATTTTTATTTCCATTTTCCTCATGCTAAGGCTAGCATCTATTAAGATGATTTAAGAATAGCTTTCCGTTGTCATAGGTCTTCCTACAATAGAAACACATAATCTCCAAGCATGAATCTAATATCCTATTTGCTAATTGAATTTACTGAATGAGATTGTCATTCTTGTCCATATGCTGCTCGTTAAAGTTAAGAAGGAATTGTGTGTTTAAACCTTGATTGAGTTCTTTGTGTGCCTCAGGACTAAAATCATTGAATAAGTTCCTATTCGTCTTTGAGGCTCTTATATCACGATCTTAATCGCCATTTCCAGATGTTTTAATTGGATTGATGGTAGATCCATGAGTCTAAGAGTTTAATTGAGCTTGCAGATCCCAAATGGTTTTATTTAGTACACTTAGCTTTTTATCTTTTTCTTTTACTTGGGAGAATATGTCTTGCTGCAGCTTCTCATAGCTTGATTTGAACTACAGTGTGGACTCTTATAACTCCTTGACTCTCTTTCTCTCTAGATTTAGTAATCTTTTTATTTCAATTAGCTCCTATTCATGTTCATTCTCCTTATCAATCAGCATATTCTTGACTTTCTTCTCATTCTGTTCTAGTTTCTAAATCTAGGACTTTAAGCTTTAGATTTTCTTCTTGTATTTATCTGAGATGTCCTTGCTTTGCTGCTTGTCGCTCTTGGCACTACCAGTAATGCCATTATTCTACTAGTTGTAGGAGTTATGTAGCTGCTGATTCTGATACTAAGTTTGCTAGTTCTGAATTTGATGCTATTGGTTTATATTTCTCAGTCTTTAAACTTCCTCTTTTGACTTTTTTAATTTGTGCTTCTATTATTGCATCTCTTTTTCATACTGTTCAACTTTCTTAATGATTTCCTAATTATCAGCCTTCAGCTTGGAATACTCACTGTTTATATTTGAAATTCTTCCATTTAACTCCTCTATCTCCTTTTAGTATTTACTGGACGCATCCTGAATTTGCTAGGTTTAGGCTGGGTTATAATTGATACTTCTCGTTAAAGGTGAAAAGTCTCTGATATTGTGCTGTGAAACTTTTTGGGCTTCTGTTTGTTGCTTATTCAGCTTCTCCAACCTTGTGATTTAAAGTTCTAACTGTTTCTTTTCTGATTCATGAGAAACCTTAATTCCGGAGATCAGCTGCTCTTGCTAGTTCTTTAATCTATCAAGTTCGCTTTCTAGATCTTTGATCTTTTTAGTGTTTGACTTGGTATTCTTGCTGTCACTTTTCTGCAACTGTGACATTCTGAATTACTCATGGTTAATCTTCTTTTTCTCGTTGCTTAGATACTCAATGCTTGTCTTGTAGCGATGTTGATTGCTGTCAATTTCCTTGTGCAATCTGGCTTTTTCGTCTAGCATTTACTCAAGTTTCAACTCCAGTTCTTTTATTTTGAGGACTTAGTCAATATTCAGATGTTCATTGTCATATTTAAGATTTTCAACTCTATCCTCTAGCATCTTATTTTTCTGCTGAATTTACTGCAGTTGATGTTTGGTGTCCTCAAGAGTTCTCTCTAAGTTTTTAATCTAGTCATTGTGATGAGCCTTGGATTCCTTTATTTCCATTTGATACATGTCGTTCTGAATCTAAAGTTCCTTAAGCATTTCAGTTTGCTGACTTGCCTAAGTAGCACTAGGTGTCGAAGAAGGGTTGAAAGCACTAAGCATTTTCTCTGTGACTTTTTTGAGATTAGTCTCCCGCTCTAAACTCTCATTCACCTGCATCTAAAGCAGTTGGACTTGCTACTCCAGAACTGCCTTGACTTTCTGATGCTCTGACTCTTTCAATCGTAAGGTTCTCTTAAGTTCATAGTTCTCGGACTCAAGTTTTTCTTTCTGTTCTTGCAATAAATCGAAAGTTGAAATCTATTATTGATGACCACTACCACTCGCAGACTAATGCTGTCTGTGAGGGGATTTGTCTCTAAGTTGAGAGTTCAGGTTTTGCAAAGTATTTGAGGTTGAAGCTGAATGCTGAGACTAGTGAGTTAGGGGGGAAAGGCCCAAGTTAGAACGAGAACTGGTGCCACCCACTGGTACTGTTTAACAATCAATATTTGAATTCATATTTAATTTCGTTGTTTAATTTCAAACTAAGCAGTCATATATCTCAATTCATGGGGTTTTGGGGTTTTGGGGGATCGGAAGAGCGTCGTG